ATGCTTCCAAATATTAACTGCAGGCGACCAGCAGGAGGGAGTTATGTCTTCACTTCCTGCTTACAAGCACCTCAGAGATACCTGATTAGACACTGTGAGAAACAAAATGCTGGTTAAGGTAGACCTTGGTACGACTCAAAAGGGCTATTCTTCCGTTCCTGTGACTTCAACTTGTTAGCCTTTGATCACTGAAATCTTTTTAATTGCAATTTTCTTAGGGAATTTATCTTTTTATTGTGTTAATATCCTGCTACAATCAAAATGATCTCAAATAATTTTTAGAATTCTTTAAAGAGGAACATGACATTTAAAGCACAAGTTACAAATTATGCTACAAATTTATGACCACCCAATGCCAAATTTTGTACAGCGATATCAGATGAGTCCCATTGCTGTGTTGTTTCTCAGTTTCATGTCCAGCAGGACTATGCAGCCTCTTCTTACTTTGTGGGGGCAACACATAGTTTGATGGACAATACTGATTTGGAAAAACACAGTGAAATGGAAGATTTAGATGTCTTTTCCTTTATGCCCCCATAACTTAGTTCCAATACTCATAATAATTAGCAACAAACCAGAGACTTTGGGCAATTTTTCTCAGTGGTTGTAATTGTAACAATGGTGGAAAAATAGGGGGAAGAAGAGACATTTCTTAGTAGATGTAAGAAATCTGAAAAATTGCAGTTGAAAAATTAATTATGCCACTAATGGTAGAAGACAGAAGACCCCTTTTGGATCTTTATATCTATTACCATCAACGGAAGAATTGCTAGTAGCACCTTTCTATTCACTTATACAAAGTAGAAATCTCTCTGCAGCAGTGCTCTCCATGAGCAAAAGCTGGAGTCTTACATAGAATATGATTTTTGCACGTCAGCCTGTATAAGGAAATATCTTTTCTTCTTGGCTATATTTTAAAAATTATTTCTTTGTAATATTGCAACCACATATTGCAACAAGATGTTAAGGAGAATCTGTGCTTTAGTAATAATTATTTTCAAAGATAATCTGCTTTTTTATCTTGGACCATTATATTTAGGAGCAGGAAATAATTTTTTTATTTAATGATTGGTTTCCTCTGGAAGGCTGGTAAAAACCTGAAGTGCTTATGTCTTTTTAATCCAATGTTCATCATTTACTTGTCTTCCAAATGTGCTGGCTTTCAGTTCTCAACACCAATACAGCAAAGCCACGTTGACTGAGGAGGATATAAACTGTAGTCCAGTTGATTAGGAATGTCTGGGGCAATTTATAGAGGGGTCTTTTTAAAAAAAATACTTTTAATATTGGTCAGTAACCAACATTTGAGATGGGACAAGAATGTTTTTTGAGAAAAGAAAAGAAGCGCAATGCTACAGACTTATCTACAAAGAATCAATGGTTACCATGGCCACCAAGGTTGAACAAAATAATGTAAGCTTATTTTAAGGAAAAATAAAATATAAGTGACATTTGATTGAATGTGACTGCCAAGTCAAGAGAGTAATTTTATGTTTCTTTAGCACTCTTATCCTAAGTAAGTTTTCATACAAGCAAATGAACTTATTATAGTCTCCCCATTCATAATATCTATGTCTGTAGGATTTGTTTTCAAGCAAATGTACTAAGGGCTATAGTCTGAAAGGTATGTGCATATATAAATAATACGGTATAATTACTACATCCATATGAACCACACAGTAAATTGATTAAAGATAGAAATAGCAGTATTAACTAAATTACTTTAAATATCTTAAGACAATTTTTCTAAACCACATTTACCCTATGCACATCATGCTGGAGGCAAATTGCAAAAAGTAGTTCACTATAGTTAATTGTTAAGTTTGGTTATTGTGAATATTCTCCATGTATTTAATTATTTTAATGGCATTAAAATACTGAATACTTTTATGAATTTATATTCATGTTCGTTTTTCTTTTGATCAATGGTGTAACTTCATCATCATCCTAGCATTGTCCCATAGATACATGGTCTGTTTTTCGGATCAACAAATGCCACTTTATGCAATGAAAAGCAGCAAGGATGAGTTTTATATCAGGGTTAATTCTACCCTGCTACCTTTGCTTTGGTCTTTGCAAATGCTTTGCGGGCATTTGCCATCAGTGTTAAAGTTGTAAATAGTACAAGTGACGGTTGTGGGGTGTTACTCATAGAATGTGACCGTATTACTGTAGGTTATTTCCCCCCACATATTCTCTGTTATTGGTGCAAGGCCCATCTGCTGCTGGACTGTATCATTGCTGACATGGTCAAGCAGAGAAATGCTTAATGGTCAATGAAGCATTCACATCTCCATAGTAGGTACAGTGTTCAGCATTTTGTTGGTTGGCCAGCACTATACAGTACTACTTGGCAGATGATCCTTTTATACACTTTCAGTTTAAGGTGAATCAGTATGCAACTACTTCAGAGCATTCCACTGGTCTCTCTCCACCCCAGTTTTGTTGCATTCAGGCTTGTACACACTACCACATTAATCCCATCATCACTTTGCAGATGGCATCTTAAATAATGGAAGGAGTTTGTTTAACTGAACGGCTACACCGAGATAAACACTGCACTTTTTTTCATTATTGCGTTCCATTAATATGAAAATACTTACAGGCACATTCCCAGATATGCCTGGAATCAGATCTAAGTATAGATCTCAGATGCTGAACTGCTGTTCTTACACCTGATAACGGAAAGGATTTTAAAAAAAGAAAAGAAAAGAAACCCTTTAAGTCAATCTTGACTCCTGTCGACCACATTGAGAAGTCCCTGTAATTTTCTTGGCAGCATTTTCAGAAGGGGTCAGCTTTTTTCTTAAGGCTGAGATACAGCGACTGGTCCGGAGGAATTTAGCTGATTTTGTGCCCAAGGGTGGACTGGAATTCAGGTTTCAACAGCACTAAGCTGTTAATCACTAAGCCAAAGTGAATCTCAAAAGAAAGTTGTGAATTCTATTTTTGTCCGTGTTGGTGGGGTGGCCTTAGAGATTCTTTGGTTGGGTTGTTTGCTGTTCCTTCTTTGGCAGTTTCTTGACTGGAGTATTGTTTACTTGACTGTTGGTCTAATGTTAATCTTGGAGTTAACCTATGCTGATCTGGGTGCTGATTGGAGAAGTGCTTGGGTCTTTTTGTTCCTTTTTGGGCTGGGTGATAGTCTATTTTGCATAGTCTATATATGTTATTAATGTTTATGTGTCCATTGATGGCTGATTTGTCAGAGTGCCAGGCTTCTAGAAATTCCCTGGCATTTTTGGACTCGGCTTGGTCTAGGATGGTCACACTTTCCCAGTTGAAACTATGGTTAAATCTGTCTATATGTTGTGAAATTAAATGCCCAAATCAAGAAACTGCCAAAGAACTAACAGTAAACAGCCCAACCAAAGAATCTCTTGAGATTACCCCCACCAACATTGACAGGAAAACCACTAGAACATAAACTGATAGCAAACTGCACTCTTTGCTAGCACTGATGATGCTACCTAGTTTAGGTAATGAAAAGTCTGCAAGATAACAAGCAAGCTCAGAGAGAACCCAGGAGCTCCATGTCAACCCTGTGTCAACGCTGCTAACATCAGATGCTTTTGCTTTGACAACATATGGAGATGCAACCATTTTCCTTCTTATGTTTTACTCTTAGAATTGGAGTTAGAATTAGATGATACTGGAGTGGAGGAGGAGGAATGTGCATGGGAGTTTAGTTAGACATAACAATACTGTAACTAGTGTGAGAACCAAGGTTTCTGAA